TTCTTCTCCTTCCTCTTCTTCTTCCTCTTCTTCCTCCTCCTCCTCCTCTCCTTCTCCTTCTCCTTCTTCTTCCCCTATCCCATTTTCCCCCCTCCTCCTCTTCTTCTTCTTCTTCCTCCTCCTCTTCTCTTCTTCTCCTTCTCCTTCCTCTTCTCCTTCCTCTTCTCCTTCCTCTTCTTCCTCCTCCTCCTCCCCTTCTCCTTCTCCTTCTTCTTCCCCCGTCCCATTCCCCTCCTCCTCCTCCTCCTTCCCCTCCTCCCTCCTTCCCTCCCTCCTTCCCTCTCCTTTTCCAGAAGATGGCACAATACACCAGAGATGGAAAACCTGGCTTGATTGCTCTTTAATGCAACGTTCTTAATGGTGTATGTAAACCTCTGTGATTTTTGTTTATACGATCCGACCCAGTTTTTCATGGCTTTCTCTCTCTGCTCTCTAGATTCACCAAGATGAAGACGGCCACCAACATCTACATCTTCAACCTGGCCTTGGCAGACACCTTGTGCCTCATGACCTTACCTTTCCAAGGCACGGATACCTTCCTGGGCTCCTGGCCCTTTGGCAACGCTCTCTGCAAGATCGCCATCTCCATCGATTACTACAACATGTTCACCAGCACCTTCACCCTGACTATGATGAGTGTGGACCGCTACATCGCCATCTGCCACCCCATCAAGGCCCTGGACATCCGCACGCCACACAAGGCCAAAGTGGTCAACGTGGGCATCTGGGCCTTAGCTTCCGTCTTCGGCATCCCGGTCATGGTGATGGGCTCCACGGAGAGAGAAAACGACGGTGAGGAGCAGGACATGGAGAAGGTTGGGGTGGGGTGGGGCTCCCTTTAACCGGAAACGGAAAACGATGAACGTAGCCTGGCTATTCCAGCAACCCTCCACTCCGCTCAATAACTCCAAGGCAGACATCAAGGTTCCTTTTTATTTGGATAGTAAACTGGCACAACTGGGGAATCCTGAATCTGAAAGTTCCGGGCTTCCTTACAACAAGTAAAAACTACAAAATCCATCCCCCTGCACCCATCATCGCATCACATGCCCCAATCACCATCCGTCCCAAGTTAAGATTTCCTCTCACTTATGTGCAACACGACATGACCTTGAATCAGAAAAAAAGATTGTTGCTATGTCTAACTAGATATACTCCAATAAATTCGCCCCCCCCCCTTCCCACTTTCCCAGACTCAAAAGGTGGCAGTGTGGGAGCTTCTGGTCTCAATATGGCTTCCAAAGCTGACACTGGCATCTCGTTGGGTTTCCCCAAGTCTGCCTAAAACACTGGAGGTAAAATAGGGAAAATGTCCCTCAATCATAGCTCAGTCATTGGGGGACTGTGAGTTCTGAATGAACTTGGATGACAGTCACCGCTAAAAGTCTAATATAGTAGCATGCAGCATCTTTCTGATACTTGCATAATTCAAAAAGCATGCATCATTATTTTTTTAAAAAATGTTCTGTTTGAAATATAAATTCTTTTTTTTCAGGAAAAAGAAAATCCCTTCCTTCCTTCCACGTTTCCCGTCTCCTTCCTTCTTCCATTTCCTTCCTTCCGTCCCATTTCTTTATTTCACATTTCCTTCCTTCTTCCATCTCCTCCCTTCTGTCCCATTTCCTTCCTTCCTTCTTTCTCCCTCCTTCCTCCTCCCTCCCTCTCTTCCTTTCTTCCTCTCATCTCCCTCCCTCTCCTTCTCACCCTCTCATTTCCCTTCTGCCTCTCATCTCCTCCCTCTCATCTCCTCCTCTCCCCTTCTCTTTCCTTCCTCCCTCCCTCCCTCTTTCTCATCTCCTTTCTTCCTCTCCTTTCCTCCTCTCCCCTTCTTCCCTTCTCCTTCCTTCTTCCCTCCCTCTTTCTTATCTCCTTTCTTCCTCTCCTTTCGTCCTCTCCCCTTCTTCCCTTCTCTTTCCTTCCTTCCTCCCTCCCTCTTTCTCATCTCCTTTCTTCTTCTCATCTCCTCCTCTCCCCTTCTTCCCTTCTCTTTCCTTCCTTCCTCCCTCCCTCCCTCTTTCTCATCTCCTTTCTTCCTCTCCTTTCCTCCTCTCCCCTTCTTCCTTTCTCCTTCCTTCTTCCCTCCCTCTTTCTTATCTCCTTTCTTCCTCTCCTTTCATCCTCTCCCCTTCTTCCCTTCTCTTTCCTTCCTTCCTCCCTCCCTCTTTCTCATCTCCTTAATCATAATCCTGAGCTTACATGGGTTTGCCGGCAGTCTTAACAGCACCCTTGACATATCGTTCAGGTTTCCAGGACAATTTGCAGAAGGGAGGGGAGAGAGAGAAATCAGTGCTGGTATTGTGTTAAAAAAGCCCAAAGCTTGGTAGATAAAATGCCTTCGGAGGGTTAAGCCTTGGCTAGGATATTAGCTAAATATCATCGGCAAGAGAAGCCCTCAGGAGGGGCCAGGCACATCTATCACAAGCCCTGCAGGTATCCAACATGATCACATCGCTGCAATGATGTCCTTACACAAACCCTGTCCTGACCCAGGCTTCCCAAGATCATGAAGGTGACTCCTCATCCCGATAAAACCCCTATTATTTAAGTTAAAGTGAATTCCTCTCCAGCAAAGTCCCGGCCAACAGTCTTTCAAGAGATTTCACCAGACTTTTATCAGGCTTGGAGAGTTGCCAGGTCGATATCTTCCAAACGCCACCCTGTAGCAGGCAATACTTGGCAAGAAGTCAGGAACAGATCTTCACCCTCATGAATTGAACTTATTGTCTCCTGCAAACCCCACTCCCCTTTCACTTCTCTTTTATTCCCTCTGTACGAACAAAGTTGCTTCCTGCAAAGGTTCGTGTCCCTTTGCTCCTCCTTTATGTCGTATGGGAGGGGCAATCATCTCCAAGCCTTACTCCTGAGTCGTCCCTTTTGTCTTAGCTGTTCTTGTCTTCTGGCAGCTCTGCGCATATGCACCCTGGGAACAGGCTCCCCTTGTTCCTCTGCCTCACTGCTGTCAGATTCTGGAAGCTCCAGAGTCAGCACATAACTCCCACAGGGCCCTGGCCTCATCTCTGTATCAGATGCAGGACCCTCGTCCGAGTCCTCCCCAGACTCCCGGACTGACCCATGTTCCTCCACACTGTCCGACTCTGCTGCCGTCTCCACAGGCTGCCGTCAGACCACAACAATAATTATGCAGACTTAATAAATAGTTGGACAGTGTTGAGGTAATTATTTAGTAACTTATCGACTGCAGTAGTTCACTTAAGAAATGTGGCGAGAAAGGTCGTAAAATGGGGCAAAACCGACTTAACAAATACCTCATGTAACAACAGAAAATGTGGGTTCAGTTGTGGTCATAAATCTGGATACACTAACTGGACTCAAAGAGGTCCCCCTCACCTGCACCCACCAAAACCTAGTATAAGAAAAGCAATATAGGTAGCCACTCTTGTTATTCTGTTATTCTATTTATCTGATACGGTATAGGGTTATGTGCTTAAGCTGGGGGTTGGACTAGAAGACCTCCAAGGCCCCTTCCAACTCTGTTATTTTGTCGTACCTGTATGAGAAAGGTTGATACACGGTGAAAAAAATAGCTGCATGCCTTCTAACCACCTTATTCGTTTGTGTTTCTTTGCTCCTGCAGAAATAGATTGTCTCATTAGACTTCCTGAACCCGAGGACTACTGGGAGCCCATTTTCGGAATCTGCATTTTCCTTTTCTCCTTCATGATCCCGGTCATGGTGATCACCATCTGCTACAGCCTCATGATCAGGCGCCTGAAAAACGTCCGGGTCCTCTCGGGATCGAAGGAGAAGGACAGGAACCTCCGGCGTATCGCTCGGTTGGTTCTCGTCGTGGTGGCTGTCTTCATTATCTGCTGGACTCCCGTCCATATCTTCGTCCTGGTCCGAAGTCTGGGAGCCAAGGCCGACAACGAACTCAGTTTATCCATCTTGTACTTCTGCACCGCCTTGGGCTACGCCAACAGCTGCCTGAACCCTGTCCTCTACGCCTTCCTGGACGAGAACTTCAAGACGTGCTTCAAGAAGTTCTGCTTCCCGTCGGCCTTCAGGAAGGAGCTGCAGATGTCCAATCGTATGTGTAGCATCGCCAAGGATGTGGCTTATGCCTGCAAGAACTCTGACGGGACAAACAACCCGGCATGACTAGGCGTGGAACTCCCCATGGTCCCCGTCAGTCAGCAGAGCCCAACCACGCCAACGTCGGAGCTAACGCAGATCACAGCTCTTTGAAGAGCATGGCTCATTGTCTTGACCTAGGATTGGAGACCCTTGGAGAGCCGGAACATTTGAATGCCTCGCTCCCACCGTTTCGTGAAGTGAGTCAGCGGGAAGCGAGAATTTGACGCTTCTTGTTTGACGATTGTATAGGGGTTTGAACTCCGAGATACTTTCGGGTGACGAATTTCTGGAATTCTGGGTCGACCAGATGTGCAATTGTCCAGACTTTTCCTTCTTAAATGTGCATCTGTCTGTCTGTGTCTATCTGTCTATCTGTCTTTCTCTGTCTCTCTGTCTCTCTCTCCGTCTGTTTCTCTCTCTCTCTCTCTCTCTCTCTCTCTCTCTCTCTCTCTCACACACACACACACACACACACACACACTGTCTCTCTGTCGCTGTCTCTATCTGCTTCTGTCTCTCTGTCTCTCTCTCATTCTCTCTGTCTCTGCCTCTCTCTCACTCTCTTTGTCTCTGTCTCTCTCTCTCTCTGTCTCTCTCTCTCTGTCTATGTCTCTCTCTCTGTGTCTGTCTCTCTGTCTCTCTCTCTCTCACACTCACTCTCTGCCTCTTGCTGTCTCTCTCTCACTCTCTCTGTCTCTGCCTTTCTCTGTTTCTCTCTCTCTCTGTCTCTCTCTCTGTGTGTGTCTCTCTGTCTCTCTCTCTTACACACATACACACACTCTCCCCCCCCCCTTTGTGTGTGTGTGCTTGTGTGCTCATCAAGCGTGCCTGTGTCTGTTTGCCTGTCGGAAAAAAGACACTCAAGAAGTGGGAAAATGTGCTCATAGAAGACCCTAACAGTTGAGACTCCATGACAACATCTACAAATGAGACTCGGCTGCCGTCGCCATTAACACCTTGTCTAGAATTGTTGTTAACATTCCGCTAACACCGTCAGTTCTGCGTGTTTTGCACACATCAAGCCAAGGCTAGAGATTCACAGCAAAAACCTGGCTGTGCTGGAAATCTTTGTCACCAACTTAGCAGCAAGGAACCGAAAGAGCGAAAGCGTGTACCTTTGCAGACTTTGGCGGCTTCAACAGCCTCACAAATTGTATGTAACACCGGAAAGACTCCGAAATCAATTCTCACCGGAATCCTTGGGCCGAAAGAAAGTGAAAAATAGAGAAGGATATTTATTTGGGTGGGGGTGGTGGAGTTTTGTTTTTAAATGATATTTTACGAACAACGGAGGCCTAAAGGGATTTCTCGCACACGCGTTGAATTGGCTTTAATTTTTGAAAACTGCTACCTTCGGTGGTTGAGTAAGCTGTAACAACATTCTTTCGTAGGAGAGTCCAAATTTTGAAACCAGCGACTCTTCAAACACGGATAGACGGTTTGTATGCAGCTTGCAGACTCCAGATCCTGTACAGTGACCGAGTCGGGGGAAATAATCCATTTCTTTCTCTGCCTTGAGAAAGACTCACGTGTATTTCTTCCCCTGGATATAATCTAAAGGTTGGATTGCGAGGGACCCTTAATCTTAATCACATCTTAATCTGATGTGAAGTGGAACAATTGCAACTGGTTGATGCTGGCCACAAGGTCAAGAGATTTAAAACTAAGCACTCCAGAAGTGGGTGGATTTAAAAGACAACACTTTTCTGAACCCTGATTTTTCAGTTTGTTGGTTTTTTTTTTTAATTCAGGGTTTCTGGCAGGAAATCTAAGATGCAGCATCGAGCTGATTACAGCTTCTCAAGTAGGTGGAAAAGGACAAACCTGACCAGTTTTTTTGTGGGCAAAGAGACGAAAGTAGACAATTAAAAGTAACTTTGCTGACTCCTAAGCATCAGATCAGGAAAAAACACAATTCCAATTCTGTTCAAAGTTAGTATTCCTCTCTAAACAGCCTCCAGCCCCTGTTTCTTTGGTGGAAGGGGTGGAGAGGCCAAGCGTCCCTCTGTTCTACGGCTCCACGATTTGGAATGTGCAGGTAGACTTCCCCTGAAGAGGGAGGTTCTATAGAGATGGCATGCCAGGTTTTGTTTATAGAGATATGCCCACAACAGTTGGGCGTATTTGCAACATTTTGCAAAATCAATGGAAAAATGGATTTGGCCTTTTCTTCCCCTCTTCCAAGAAAGTGCTCAGAGATCAAGATATTTTTCCGGATTGATGGTTGCAAAATCTTCATAACGGCTTGTATAAATTTATGTTTTGGCCAGATCTAACCCCCATCCCACCCCGCAAAAAAAAAACAACCCTCGTCCCTTTTTCATAATCTGTTTTTATTTTCTTTCTTTTTTCTTTCTTTTTTTAAAAAAAAGACAGACAGTTTATATGAAGCTGCAGACACCAGATTACAGGTTACAAATGTCCACGGACATTGTAAGAGTTTAGGATGGTCTCTTTGAAATCATGTGTATTTTAGGAGCAGGTGTGAAAAAGCCCAATGGGATTCCTTTTTTTCCTCCCTCCTACAACGAAAAGCAGTTTAGAGTAGAAGTATGGAAGCGGGGTTGGGGATTAGATCCAGTGGATCATTCCGTGGGGAAGATGTACCTTTCTGCCTCTTCGCCAGCTTTGCTGTACCACTTGTGGAGGTGTGTGGGTCCTGATCTTTTCGTCTTTGCAGCCTTTCTGCGGTTGTGCCAGGTCTTAGCAGGCATCAACAGATGCTCAATGGAAAAAAAAAAATCCAGAGATCCTTCCTTGTGGCCGTCCAGCCAAAATAGCTAATTACCACAAGTTCCACTTAACGCTATTCTCATCGCTCCTGCATCTCTCTCTCTTCACGCTGATCCTTCTTTTCGTGACAATTTCCTCCAGTCAAGGAAAAGGAGGCCCAGAGGACATTTTTTTTTCAAAGAAAAATCCACCTGGTTTCTGGGTGGAGACATCTCTGTGTCGTTTCAAGTCGAAGGAAGGCAGAAGTTCTCCAGATGTTTCTCGACAGCGAGTTGGCCTTCTTGGCCATAAGGATAGCACAGCTGCTAAAAGGACAAGGAAGAATGGATAGAGACTGATCAAGGAGAGATCCAACCTGGAAATAAGGAGAAATTTTCTAACGGTGAGAATAAACAACCCATGGAACAGAAGTTGCCCTTCAGAAGTTGTAGGAGTTTCATCCCTGGAAGCTTTCAAGACGAGATTGGACTGCCATTGGTCAGAAGTGGTGTAGGATCTCCTACTTGGGCGCTAGGATGACCTACAAGGTTCCGTCCAGCTCTGTTAATCTGTTATAAATGGCCCCATGCTGGAAGGAAAGCAGGAAGGCACCAAGGAGGATGGAGAGAAAAAGACATAGAAAAGAAGAAGAAAAATAATAATAATGCTGAGGCCATAGAAAGAGTGTTGAGAAGAATGACCAAAATCATGAGGGATCTAGAGGCTAAATTGTGCAATGAACAGCTAAGGGAACTAGGTATCTCTTACCTAAGGAAAAGAAGGATTAAGAGTGACAGGACAGCATCTTCCAATACTTGAGGGGCTGTCACAGAGAAGAGGGCCGTCAATTTATTCTCTATCACTCCTGAGATCCGCAGAGGGAAATCCAACTAGGAAATAAGGTGAAATTTCCTGACAGTAAGAATGATTAATCGATGGAATGGCTTGCCTCCAGAAGTTACAGAAGCTTCATCCCTGGAGTTTTTCAAGCAAAGAATGATTTAGGGAAGACACGATGGCAGTCTTCCAATATTTAAGGGGCTGCCATAAAGAAGAGGGGGTCAAGCTATTCCCCAAAGCACCAGAAGGCAGGACAAGAACAACGGATGGAAACTAATCAAGGAGAGAAGCAACCTGGAACTGAGGGGAAATTTCCAATGGTGAGAACAGTCAACCAGTGGAACAGCTTGCCACCAGAAGTTGTATGTGCTTCATCCAATGGAGGCTTTTAAAGAAGAGATTGGACCACCATTAGTCCAGAATGGGAAGGAGTTTCCTGCTTGAGGGCTGGACTAGAAGACCTTCAAAATCCCTTCTAGTCTAGGATTCTACGAGTGACAGAGAGAAGACAAATCAACCGAAGCAATCTTGCTGCAAGGTGGAACCCGTAACCACGTCTCACCAGGAAGAGGTTCAGCTACAAGGGGGTGGTAGGGGGAAACCTCAGGAAAACAAAACTATTTTTTTTTCCTGATAAAAACATTGGCCTCTTTTGCAAAAAGCAGCTTGTGAATGTTCATTATCAATGTTGGTGTGAAGTGCAGTGCTTGGGCCTTGGTGCGCCTGAGAAAACAAGTTTTTTTTTTCCCCCATTATCGTGCCTGGGAGAATGGATTTTCTTTTTTCTGTTTTTAAAAAATAGCAGGTTATGAAGAATGAAGGTTCGGAAACTTCACTGAGCAAAAGTAAACAGGCTCTTCAGATTCGATTTTAGACAAAAAGCGAAGTCTTTTTCCTCTGCTGCTGAATGTACAGATTTTTTTAATGGAAAATGTTTCTGACAACCAGTAATTTACGCACTTATACGCACATACATATGGTGTATGCATATATGTGTATATATGTGTATATATATACACACATACACACATACACACACACAATACATGTAAGTACCCGCAAAAACTTAAGAAACATATATATATATATATATATTCTTAAGTTTTCATGGGTATTTATATGTATGGTATTCAGCTTTGTTCGGGTATTTTCCCACGTCATTATAGTTGTGCTTTTAAAGTTGTAGCAACGTTTCGGCAGAATGTCATCTGCCATCGGCTTCTGTATCGTGTTCGTCTGTGACTGTCACAGACGAACACAGAAGCCTGATAATGGCCGATGAGATTCTGCCAAAACGTTGCTACAACTTTAAAAGCACAACTATAATGACATG